AAAAATGAGTCGAAAAACAATTAAAAGCGGTTATCATTTAGCAAAAACCAATGTCTGACAAATCAATCCCTGGCCAGATATATCTTAAATAAAAAGTTAAGAAACTAAAAAAGCCGAGTTTTTAGAATTTCACCACGACATAAACCTGCGGAAGGGCCCGATTTCACCAGCAGTATCTCAGTTAATGCATATGCAGCAAACGTTTTCTAATCTATCCTGCACAATATACGATTCGAAAGCAAATAACCTTGTGGCGCTGGCAGAGAGTATTTAAGACCACGCGCTGACTGCAGCCTCTTCCAATTAATGTGCAGCTGCATGGTACCATCTTCATTGACAGTTACAGCGACGCGATGCAAGCAGTTGTTGCCACAGCGTGGACAAAAACGTTTCGTCATGATCGTTGTGGTTGCGAAACATGCACGGCATCTGTAAAAAAGCATTTGATCCGACTAGCTTCTAGCGATGGGCTATCTGTGTTTCTCAACTTTAGCCGCACATTATACTTAACATTTGAAAAACTAACACAGCTAAGACAACTTATAATGGCCTAAAACTTGCCATATTCAACAAGGGGTGGTGATGCTCAATACACACAGATGACAACTCGAAACATGCAGAACCATAAAGAATCACAGTATTAATAAGACGCCTTTCCAGGCAATTCAAGCACAATGCTTTAAAACAAAGCTGGTGCCTTAACAAGCCAACATACTACAAAAAAATAGAAAAAAGTAAAATACAAACCGGTAAAAATATTAAAAAAAAAAATAAAATACAAACCAATAAAACTATTATTCATAAAAATTATCAGAAAATATAATTTTTTTCGAACCCTTTTGATTTTTACAGAAATTTTAAACGTTTTCAGCTCGAAATTCACTACCTCAAAATGTAGGATTTCAGTTGCCGTATTCTGTATCCGTCAATACTCAGCAGATTGAGGCCCAAACGAAGCAGCACGTTCTGCATGGCAAAATCGGTCGTTATGCAAGCTACCTGAAGCGAAAAATGTACACTTTTAACTAAGACATTAATTATTGCCGAATCCGCCACGAAGTTGGGAGGTCAGCACTTTGGAGTGTCAAATAAGTCTGTAATTTTTAAAAACTTTCGATTCGAGTCGAAACCGTCGCCATATTATTATGCATTTTGTGCTGTAACAGCTGCACAAGACTGCCTGAGTGTGAATCTTTCTGTGTCCGAGTATGTTTTATCCGAGGTTTTTAACCTGGGGACCAGAGAAGCTAGGAAGCTTGAAAATTTAAGGGAAGAGGGAATTCCTTAAACACAAATCCAGTCCCCACGTACGCCTATGTCCCACATAAGGTCACGTAAAAGTTTTGATGTATAAATAACTCGGGATGCAAAAAAGTTAGGGTGCCCAAATTTCGAGAAAATGTTCCAAGCCTTCATGTCACTACGTAATTTGGCTTTCATGTACACCTCGATCTCACGTTTGGGCACGTAGAAGTTTTGGCACTCAAAACTGATAACTCGGGAACCACAAAAGACAACAAGCTGAAATTTTAAGAGGATGTTCCCTGCCCGCGTACGATCACGTAAATTTAATTCCAACTTTCACTTATGCCTCGGTCTCATGCATGGAAACGTGAAAATTTCGGTGCCAAAATTAACTCTGGAACCAAAGATACCCTTCAACAGTAAAGCAATGAACACTTCTAACAGCAAGGTCCCCTTCGACAGAGTTACACAAGAGCCCACTGGACAGAGCTGCACAAAACGCATGTGAAGCATCAGCTACCCTGCTGCGCACCGCTATTTATTTCTAAGCAAAATTCGGAAGAGAGGGAAGGGACAGTTTTGTCAGTGGGTGTTACCATTCGATATAATTCCGAATACACCCACCTTTCATGGCCAGTGAACGTGAGACTTTCTACTTTTGATTTCCAAAAATGAGTAAGACTGTTCAAGTTTCAATCACATCTAAGCAATGATAACGCTTGATGATAAGATAAAGGCATAGCAGTAAGGCAAAAATTGTGGTTGATAAAAAAACAACCTTCATATTTCTTTCGGGCACTGCTACCTCACCAATGTGCCCCAAAATTTCATCTACGTTATCTTCATTCAACCACGTCCCAGCATCACTACTACTGCTAATGCTATCGTTATCACCGTTATCATTATCAGCGTTGTCTTTGTCATCTTCCGCACCTTCTTCCATTTTTTCCGTTATCGATGGCGTTTTTAGGTCTTCAACTGTACTCTGCAAAATAATTTATTTTCTATGGGCATCTACATGCGTTTCTTTTAAAAACAACTTCAGAGGACTAATTAGAGACAAAAATTCTTTGAAACGTCTTCACAGTTAAATGAACTTAATCAATATTAGCTTCGTTTATTCCATGAAGGGAAAAATCTATACAAAAACAAAACTGCGTAGTTGACTACAGCTCATTATATTTGAGACATCTGAACTGTTCCCCAACCATAAAGCTGGCAGTTTTTCGAGTTTCTCTGACCACTTTTGCATCGCCTTGTAAACAGAGCCTCCTGGCGAATAAGCACAGCAAAGAACTCTTCCCAACTTGCTGCTGTCAGGGCTTCTGACTGGCGTAAATTTCAAAGCTATAGCGAAATCGGTGCACTTTCAAACGAATCAATGATTGAGTCTTTAGTGTGCTGGTTTTTTTTAACACACGTTTACTGTTATGTAAGTTAAAGGCGTGTCTTGCTATTGTATTTTTGTAGATGTTAATAAGCAAACTAAGAGTCCGTCAGACATTCTCTATGAAAAAAACGAACACAGGAAAGTGGGCCTAGCAACAGCTACACAAAAAAGTTGTTAACAGTCCTTCCAACAGCTGATTAGAAAAACGATGATGATTCCGACTAAAAAAAACGCATCAGTGCAACTTTTATCATTCGGAAGATTCAACTGTTTTATCCTCCAGAATTTTAAATAAGGTGCGACTATGAGTCCCCATATCCCATCGAAACCATATAGAAGAATAACTGGCCAGCACATCAACTGCCAGTGCGAAAATGCGTTTTTTTGCATAGTTCCTGGCAGGTTTTTGTCGCTAACGGAACGGTTTTTCCTGTAAATGCTTCTAACTAAGATAAATGAAACTGGCCACCAGGGCTACCTGAAAAACCCCTTTAAAATTTTTGAGCTTTCTAGCTTTTCCAATTTCCCAGCTAGCAACATACCCGCATAAAACTTTCATGGGCCCGTACATAAGAATCGCGCATACCCGGAGACTGTGTGTAAACTCATTAAGACCTGCCTGGACGTGGAATATCCCCTCAAAATTCCAGTCTTCTAGCTTCTCAGGTTCCCGAGTTAGTAACTTACCCGAAAAATATTTTCACGGGCCCAAACGTAGGTACCACGCATGCCCAAGAGCTGGGCTTGAAGTCATTAATACCTACTCGGACGGGTAACATCCCCCTAAAATTCCAGTCTTCTAGCTTTTCAGGTTTCTGAGTTAGCAAATTGCCCAAAAAAACTTTGGCGGACCCGTACGCGGGCACCACGCGGGTAAGAGCGCCCATTTTAGAGATAGGGGCCGTACACGCATACAGATTAAATTCCCAAGGTTTCAGCGATGTAGCTTTGTCTTGAGATAAATAAATGGCAACGCGCACCAGGCTAGCCGGTGCGATCATGCGTTTTGTGCAATTCAGCCCAT